ACAATAACAACTCTTCCATTCACTGGAACTGTGACTAATACTTTTCAAGAACTGGGTGTCATGGGGCCATTATTATGAAAAGAAGTACAGGTCCCCTAGCCTTAGAGAAGTGTTGATGTTGAAAAAAACTAAAAGCTTTGCCCCACATCTCAAACCAAATAACATTTATAAGGGGATTAGACCTATTGCTTTTCCATAACACATTCAGCCTTTCTCCACAAGTCATAAAATAAGAGTGCAGAATATCATCTCTGGAGGAGGTATCATGGGGTTGGCATCTCAGAGCCCTGTATAAAAGAACTCTATTAAAAAAATTATCCAAAGACACAAGATCTAAAAAAGCAGAAGGCGCAATATCAAGAGTTATAGGCAAAGGAAATGAGATGTTTATAGTTGAATTTTGAATAAAGGTAGAGTAGATTAGGCAGAAAGAGGGAGAAGAAATTTGTCAGAGGTAGAAACAAATGACGTTTCACTCCCCTGTGGTGGTCAGATTGTGTGAAGTGTCAGAAGCGGCTGTTGCTAATAATAGTGGCTGATGTGCATCTCTTCTCTCAACGTAATTTTGCATACTGCCTTAGATTACCACACATTGTATTTATTCAGCATTGACATTGCAATTGCAGTGTTACACCCTGACCCTGCTTTTGTGGGGCGTTGTTTGCTCCACAAGTTTGCTACACGTTTTTTAATGGTATTTTTAAAACAGTTCAGTCTAACATTTTTTTCTGGCCATTGTGAATCAGGCAAGGCACATGAGGACTTCAAATTAGGTTGGGTAACTACTGAATTTGATGGAATTAAACAAGGGATAAATTTGGCACACTGTGACATTTCTCTCTCGCGCTTATTCTGGACTGTGTCTGATGGTTCTTCCAGAAATTATTTGTCTGAGGGCGCAGACATTTACCATACGTGTAGTTTGACATCTATATTTAAGGAGGGGCAGCTCCAGTCAGGCCAACGGGGATGCCTGTGTGTGTGTGGCAAATTCCGTGCCTGCCCACAGGGGTGCCATTTCAGATTTTGGGGGGGGGGGGCAGCGTCAATTTTAACTGTAATTCCAGGGGCTACTTAGGCAACTGAAAACTCTTGTATTTTGGCAGATAATAACTTAGAAATTATCTGACAGGAGCACTGTATCTAATTCCTATATCAAGAAAGAAAATTAAATAAATATTAGACCCACTCAGCTCTAATACTAATGTGTTCTGACCAGTGTTCCCTCTAATTTTTTACGTCCATGTGCGGAATGAATTTTGTTATGTGCATCAATATGGAGGTGCACCTTCATATTGGTGCACATAGCAAATTCATGTGGTGGGGGTGGAGCCGAGGGTTTCGGAGTGTGGGAGGGGGCTCAGGGCTGGGGCAGAGGGCTCCGGGATGAGGGCTCTGGCTGGGGTGCGGGCTCTGGGGTTGGGCTAGGGATGAGGGGTTTGAGGTGCAGGAGGGGGCACAGGGTTGGGGCAGGGGGTGAGGGATCCAGCTAGGGGTGAAGGCTCTGGAGTGGGGCCTGGGATGAGGGGTTTGGGGTGCAGGAGGGAGCTTAGGGCTGGGGCAGAGGGTTAGGGTGCAGTGGGGCGTGGGCTCTGGGGTGTGGCTGGGGATGAGGGGTTTGGGGTGCAGGCTGCCCCGGGGCTGTGGTGGGGAGAGAGGACTCCCCCCAGCTCTCTCCCCAGCTGCGGCAGCTCCGGCGGTGCTGGGCTGGGCTGAGGAAGGGGCCCCACTCCCAGGCAGCTCCGGCGGTGCTGGGCTGGGCTGAGGGCTCCTCTCTCCCAGCTGTGGCAAGTCCGGAGCAGGTCCGTGCTGGGGCCAGCAGGGAGAGATGCCGGTTCTGACATTTTGTGGCAAGTCACTTAAGGGACACTGGTTAGATTTAAAACTTTTAATGTATATTCTTACTCAGATACTCTTACCAGGGGCGGCTCTAGCTTTTTTGCCACCCCAAGCATGGCAGGCAGGCTGCCTTGCCTGTGGGAGGTCCCCTGTCCCGCGAATTCGGCGTACCCCCCGCAGGCATGCTGCCGAAAGCTGCCTGACTACCGCCCTCACAGGGACCGGCAGGGTGCCCCCCGTGGCTTGCCGCCCCAGGCACACGCTTGGTGTGCTGGTGCCTGGAGCCGCCGCTGACTCTTACTAAAGTCAGAAGGGACCATCATGGTCATCTAGTCTAACCTTCTGCACATTGCAGGCCACGGAACCTCATCCACTCACTCCTGTAATAGAACTGTAGCCTCTGGCTGAGTTACTGAAGTCCTCAAATCATGATTTAAAGCAGGGGTCGGCAACCTTCGGCACGCGGCCCATCAGGGTAATCCGCTGGCAGGCTGCGAGACATTTTGTTTACGTTGACTGTCCACAGGCACGGCCCCCCGCAGCTTCCAGTGGCCGCGGTTTGCCGTTCCCGGCCAACGGGAGCTGCGGGAAGCGGCGCAGGCTGCAGGGACCTGGTTTAAAGACTTCAAGTTACAGAGAATTCACCATTTATGTTAGTTTAAATGTGCAAGTGACCCATGCCCCATGCTGCAGAGGAAGGAGAAAAACCCACAAGGTCTCTGCCAATCTGACCTGGGGAAAAATTCCTTCCTGTCCACAGATATGGTGATCAGTCAGACCCTGAGCATGTGGGCAAAACCTACCACGCAGATACCTGGTAAAGAATTCTCTGTAGTAACTCAGAGCCCTCCGTATCTCGTGTCCCTTCTCCAGCTGTTGGGGATTTTTGTTACAGGCAGCCACGGATGGGCCACACGCCATTGTAGGCAGTTCTGTCATACCATCCCCTCCAGAAACTTATCAAGCTCAGTCTTGAAGCTAGATAGGTTTTTTGCCCCCACTGCTCCCCTTGGGAGGCTGCTCCAGAACTTCACTCCTCTGATGGTTAGAAACCTTTGCCTAATTTCAAGCCTAAACTTGTTGATGGCCAGTTCATATCAATTTGTTCTGGGGTCCACATTGATGCTTAATTTAAATAACTCCTCTCCCTCCCTCCTATTTATCCCTCTGATGTATTTATAGGGAGCAATCATATCTCCCCTCAGCCTTCTTTTGGTTAGGCTAAACAAGTCAAACTCTTTGTGTCTCTGCTCATAAGGTAGGTTTTTCATTCCTCAGATCATCCTAGTAGCCTCTCTCTGCATCTGTTCCAGTTTGAATTCATCTTTCGTAAGCATGGGAGACCAGAATTGCATACTGTATTCCAGATGAGGTCTCACCAGTGCTCTGTATAATGGTAGTAACACTTCCCTGTTTCTACTGGAAATACCTCGCCTGAAGCACACCTGGACCGCATTAGCCTTTTTCAAGGCTGCATCACATTGATGGTTCATATTCATCCTGTGATCAACCAGCACACCCAGGTCTTTCTCCTCCTCTGTCACTTCCAACTGATAAGTCCCCAGCTTATAGCAAAAATTCTTGTTGTTAATCCCTAAGTACATGACCTATCACTTTGTACTACTAAATATCATCCCATTTCTATTACTCCAGTTTATAATGTCATCCAGATCTTCTTTTATATTTCAATCCTCCTCTGTATTGGCAATACCTCACAACTTTGTGTCATCCAGAAATTTTATTAGCACACTCCCACTTTTTGTGCCAAGGTCAATAATAAAAATGTTAAATAAGATTGATCCCTGACGAACTTCACTAGTAACCTCCCTCTAGCCTGACAGTTCATCTATCAGTATGACCTATTGTAGTCTCCTCTTCAACCAGTTCCTGTTCACCTTTCAGTGCTCATATTAATCCCCGTCTTCTCCAGTTTAACTAATAATTTCTCATGTGTAGCAAGTGCCTTACTGACATCCAGGTAGATTAGATCTACTGCATTTCTTTTGTCTAAAAAATCAGTTATCTTCTCAAAGAAAGATTTTAGTAACTTTGTTACTACTTTCTGAATACAACAATTGAAACAACTGTAGAATCATAGAATATCAGGGTTGGAAGGGACCTCAGGAGGTCATCTAGTCTAACCCCCTGCACAAAGTAGGACCAATCCCCAACTAAATCATCCCAGCCAGGGCTTTGTCAAGCCTGACCTTAAAAACCTCTAACAAAGGAGATTCCAACACCTCCCTAGGTAACCCATTCCAGTGCTTCACCACCTTCCTAGTGAAAAAGTTTTTCCTAATATCCAACCTAAACCTCCCCCACTGCAACTTGAGACCATTACTCCTTGTTCTGTCACCTGGTACCATTGAGAACAGTCTAGATCCATCCTCTTTGGAACCCCCTTTCAGGTAGTTGAAAGCAGTTATCAAATCCGCCCCTTATTCTTCTCTTCTGCAGACTAAATAATCCCAGTTCCCTCAGCCTCTCCTCATAAGTCATGTGCTCCAGCCCTCTAATAATTTTTGTTGCCCTTCGCTGAACTCTTTCCAATTTTTCCACATCCTTCTTGTAATGTGGGGCCCAAAACTGGACACAGTACTCCAGATGAGGCCTCACCAATGCCAAGTAGAGGGGAATGATCACGTCCCTCGATCTGCTGGCAATGCTCCTACTTATACAGCCCAAAATGCCGTTAGCCTTCTTGGCAACAAGGGCACACTGTTGACTCATATCCAGCTTCTCATCCACTGTAACCCCTAGGTCCTTTTCTGCAGAACTGCTGCCTATTACTTTCTATCATTTAGGCTTACTTTTTGCAGTTCACCAAACTTGGAACAGATCATTTAACTTTAGGAAACACCCTAACAGCCCTTTCTTATCATAATCGCCTGTTAATCAGTCTCTTTATAAACAAAATTCTGACTCCCTGCCTCAGGGGTGCAAGCTGGGAGCAGCACATCTCCTTTCTCCTCTGCTGAACTCATTGCATTGCACACTCTGGCTGCCAGCCTGAGGCTTGCAATTTTGGGGGGGAGGGGCAATGCCCCAGCCATACCCCCCCAAACACCACCTATGATGTTTACATTGTTTTGTTTTGTTACTGTTATAAACTTGCCATGGGCATTGGTCTTAATTTCTAATGCTTAGAATTTGTCTTACAGGTGCAGATTCACTGTACAGAAACAGTTTTAGCTTCAGTGATGAAAAACTTAACTCTCCAACAATGTCAATTCCAACTCCAACTTTACCATCTCCAGCAGTAACTCCTTGTAAAGGTAAATCTCATAGTAACTTTATTTTAAGTGTTTAAGTTTCTTCTGAACTCTGAGTGGTGCAGACTCATCTCTGTAAAATGTTAATCTACTGATATTTAAGATGTGAACAAACTCCTGAGTGTTAGTATTAAGACTACTTCAAACATAAGTCCTACTAGTATCTGTGCTAAACACAATGGCACATTAGGTGCAATGTCTGCAATAACCAGTGGTTCATAGGTGGGCCTGCTAACTGTATTAGCTATGAATCTACAGCATTAAAGGAAACATTAGTTTTTGGCTGATCTAAAATTGTGATGTGTGTTACTAAATACTTCCTTGAATGGGTTTATTTTCACTGTAGAGAACTCATGTTACAACTTGAATGTACACAAAAACGCTTAACTTGAGTGCAGGGGTGCTTTTAATGTGAGTTGTCTGGCCAGTCATGGCAGATGTGCTAACTCAAGCTGTAGCCTAACTTGTCAGCTGCTGACACAATCACTCTTTGCAGTGTCACTGGTCTCGCTTGACCTAGGCTAACTTGAGAAGCCTTAACTTGAGCGCAGATAACTCGAGTTACCTTACGTCTTTTCTGAAGAGTGATGTCTGCACTGCAGCTGGGAGTATGCTTCCCAGTGGGGATAGGCAGACTTGTGTTAGCTCTGCTCGTGCTAGCATGCTAAAAATAGCAGAGTGCCAAAGTGGTCCAGCTAGTGGCTCGGGCTGGCCAACTGAGTTTGTACTCAAGGGGCTAGCCTGAGCCATGCCGCCATGGTCACGCTGCTATTTTAAGGCAGTAGAGCGAGCGGAGCTAGCATGGATCAATCTGCCCATGCTGGGAAGCACACTCCCAACTGCAGGGTAGACATACTCTAAGCCAATGAAAGGAACAGGCATACATTCATGCTACACAGAGCTTTCACATACAGTAGCACCTCAGAGTTACGAACTGACCAGTCAACCACACACCTCATTTGGAACCGGAAGTACGCAATAAGGCAGCAGAGACCAAAAAAAAGGAAAAAAAAAAAAAAACAAATACTGTACAGTACTGTGTTAAATGTAAACTACTAATAAATAAAGGGGAAGTTTAAAAAAAGATTTGACAAGGTAAAGAAACTGTTTCTGTGCTCATTTCATTTAAATTAAGATGGTTAAAAGCAGCATTTTTCTTCTGCATAGTAAAGTTTCAAAGCTATATTAAGTCAATGTTCAGTTGTAAACTTTCGAAAGAACAACCATAACGTTTTGTTCAGAGTTACATACAACCTCCATTCCCAAGGTGTTCGTAACTCTGAGGTTCTACTGTACTTGCTCAAGTATTTTTCCCACCTTCATTTATATTATCTGCATACATGTATGGAGACCTACTGTCACATTCCGGGGTGCAATCCAGACCAGTGAGGGGTTGTCACCACCTGCCCCACAACCTTGGGTGCCTCACAATGCTAGCTGTTGTAGCTCCCCACTGGGCTGCTCACAAACAGTCTGCCAGCATGCAAGTCGCACCCTGAGTGTTTGTGTATAGCAGGGATCAGCAACCTCTGGCACACAGCTTGCCAGGGTAAGCACCCTGGCGGGCCAGGCCAGTTTGTTTACCTGCTGCGTCTGCAGGTTCGGCCGATCGCGGCTCCCACTGGCCGCGGTTCGCCGTCCCAGGCCAATGGGAGCGGCGGGAAGCGGCGCGGGCCTAGGGATGTGCTGGCCCTGGTCCAGCAGCTCTGATCCAAGTAGCCTGTCAGTCACACTCTGGCTTCCACAAGCCTTGGTTACTACTTGCATCCCCAATACACTCCCAGACCTGAATTTTCCCAGACACCTGCGGTCTGCACTGTCCAAACCTCTCCTGGACAGTTCAGATATTAAAGGTCTGTTGCCCCTGTAACGGTCAATATTAAAGTTTACTGCTTTACCTGGAGTTACCAAACAGTTCAGTTTAAACACAACACTGGATTAGTTTAGATTAAAAATAAAACAAGTTAATTTAACTACAAAGAGAGGTTTTAAGTGAGTACAAATATATGGTATTAAATTCAGAAATGGTTACAAGAGAAATAAAGATAAAACGCTTTCTAGTAGCTAAAACATAACAAGCTAGACTTGGTTTAAGGTAAAATCCTTATCACAGGTTCCAAGCAACATGGTTGAGCAACTTCTCAGGTCAGGATCTCACCGCAAAGTCTTAGGTGAAAGAGAGAGTCTGGGGTGTTTTTGCCCCTCACTTTTCTAGTCCAGTCACCCTTTGAAATGCAAATTTCTGAGGATTACCCATAGATAAAGTTCATTCCAGCTGTGAGGAAGCAGACATGGAGTCTCATGGTGAAAGAAGTTCCATGCTGTTGTTTGCTAAAAGGCAGATTGATCTGTTCCTGCTTCCCTTCATTTGTCAAAGGATAGCTACTTGACAGGTGATTGCCAATCAACTTTGATGACACTTGGCTAGAGGTGTCAGCTTGTCCTTTATATTTGAGAAACCAGTTTACTCCTTTCCTTGACTTGTCTGGTAAACACACTGTAGTCATAATTTCAGTTTATGTTCATAACTCTTAGTACGCATTTTGTACACACAGTTTATGTTCATAACACAAGAATATAAATGATCAGTGTGTAGGGTGTGAATACAGAGGTGCTCAGGGTTACACCTACCCATATGTGAACACATATGCTGACATGCCATATATTTAATTTAAATTCCTTACATAAACTAAGCTAAGGCAATATTAAGGCTGTGCAATTGAGCACCCATTTCAGGGAATGTGGAGGGATTTACTTAGGAGGAAAGATAAAAAGCTACATATATGCAGTTTGATTAAGCCATCTAAGGGAAGGTGGGACATAACCTTACAAATATCAGAAGGTTGTAAATAACAAAGAGAAGAATTAACTATTTAACTTGGTATTAGGGGGTAATAATGAGAAGTAATGGGATCCAATTAAGCTGGCAGCAGAGACTCAGCAAAGAATTAGACTGACTATCCGGAAGCTATTTCTGAGAGCAAGGTTTATTTGATTGTGGAATACTCTCTAGAAGGAAGTGATAGAAGCCACTTGCTATATTAAAAAACTGGATTAAAAAACTGAATTTATGTATAAATTCTAGAATACTAGAATACTAGAAATTATACATAAATAACAATTCTTCACTAGAAAGCAGTGGACATCTAACAGTGATGGAAAAAGCGTAACTTCTAATTTTTAAGGAAACAAAATGAGTTTTGCTCTAATGTCATTATGTGAATAATTCCCTAAAATAAAGGAATCAGAATTTTAGGCCAGATATCAGGACAGTCTTTTCTCAGAAGCATTTGGACATTGCAGTAGGACTATTAAAGGAAGATAGGTCAAGGAATCCTCTCTGAAGATAATCAAGAAGAGATTAGATACTACTGGGAATAATGTTGGGAGTTGTCCTTCAAAATTCAAGTGGTTTCTAATGGCCTTTATTTGCCTCAGTGGCAGAGACTTACATTTTTCACTTATAAACAGTGCTGACCGTACTCTTATTTTGCAGCAAAGCTTGGAGACACAAAAGAACTAGAAGACTTTATTGCTGATCTTGACAGGACATTAGCAAGTAAGTAGATTCACTTTGTGTGGTACCTTAAAAATGATGGAAGTCAAAGTATTTACAATACAAAATATCAGTGGAGATGGGGTTGGGGGGTGGGAACAGTATTTTTACATAATTTCCTTTAAAATATTAGAGTTCTTTTTGTGTCTTTTGTTGTGGGAGAAGTAATGGGGTAGAACATGGGGACAGATCTGCCTTTGTCCATGTATTTGTACTTTTAGATCTCCTTAGTCTCCTTTTCCTGCTAGTAGATGCTCTCATTTATCTACTCCCCTCCCTCCTTGTATATATTCCCACTTTTTAGCAGCCAAATTCAACTTGATTTTGACTAGCACTTTCTTACATATAGCATTTTTGGGACATAAAACAAACCATATATCATGAAGTTGCTTTGATAGTGCATCTATTATGCAAGCAAGAGTTCTTCAAAAACTGATTCAACACAGTGAAAAACAGGCTTGTGTTTCATAGTCCTGTAAGTCTAAATAACTGACCAGTAACTATGAATGACTGGTATAAATGTAAATATTAGACTGCTATCATTGTCTTTACAAAATGATTATGGAAAGGAAGTCCATACCTTATACTTTAAATTTAAAAAAAAAAAAATCAGTTGATCTAGTCTCCATTAAATACAGACCAAATTTGTCACTACCTGACAATCTATTATTCAGTTACACTATTCTTTGGCTCTTCATCGGGCTATGGAAAAACACTTCTCTTTTTAAATATTGTGTTACATCTATTCCCCTTCTCACAGTTTGCCTGTGCTGTTCATTTGGGCCATGGTCTTGTATTCCTTTGCATGCAAACAGAGTGTTGGGTCCTCTGGGGCCTAAATAGGCAGTACAGACAAAGAACGAAAGGTGTAACACAAATTGTTTGTTTGTTGTTTTTAAATCCTTTGTTTCCCTTTCTTTGTATTTTTTAAGCCTTAGTTGATTTGCCTTGAGTTTAACTCAAGACAACTTCTTTTATGATCGTAAACTTGTGTTATGATCTGGCTTATTTGTGTTTAGCTCTTGCTGTCTTCTCACTTGTATCTTAATTCTGGCCTAGTTTCACTTATTTTAAGTATTTTCTTATTTACTATCTTTTGCAATGGATCCATTCTAGAGCTATTCATTCTTTACCAGTGAGATTAAATGCAGTGAAAAAGGTCAACTTCAGTCTTATATTACTATCACATATTTTGAGTTCTACTATATAGTTGGGGTTATGCAACAACCTACACTTACTTGTGCAGATGCCTTTGGATACCTAAGATGCCTTTGGATACATTAGAACAGTGATTTTCTTAAACCTTTACAACTTTACAATCTTTATAACTTTTTGGCTTCTATATATATTTTTTGGCTTTCCCCTCTTTCACGTCAGTTAAACAGCAGACAGTTTAAGAAATGGGACATCAAATATGACATTTTGTCAGTGAAACGTAATCTTGTTAAGTGTAGCATTTGGGATCTCTCATCTTTCATGTTTACAGGTATGTGAAGCAAAGGGATTTTTGGCATCACCCCTGTCTACAGATAATTCCTTGAAAGATGCAATGAAGACCTAATGATATGGATCACTGAAAGCCGCTGCCATGTCTGACAACTGTCAACTTTGCTATCCAGCATATTCATCTTCTGAACATAACAATAGTCACCTTCTCTAAGCATTTAACTGATGACATCAGTTTTGTTACTTTGCAGCAGGCAGGATCAGATAACTTAAATGTGCTGATACTATATTTGTTTTCTTAAAAATATAGCTTAAATTTTAATTTAAAATTGCTTTTATGAAAATATATTTGTAATTTTATATAGTTGGAAACTTTAATGCTTTTAATATATTTTTGTATACAAATAAAACCTGAACTGAAATCTAGCTGTTTAAAATCTCTTTGTGGGTTTAAGAAGATTAATTTATTAAGTTTCAAACTCATCTCAGTTCCCGAGATCATGCATCAGATTTTAAAATGTCTGATAACTTATTTCATGATAGGCAAAATAACAAAATGCAGGCTTTATGCAAAACTTTACATTTTTCTCAATTAAAGGGCCAAAGTTGGTTAAATGTGAGTATTACATATTAAATGCCTAGGGAATAGAATCAATTGAGCCAAATGCTGATCTCACACTAGAATAAGTCTGGTATAATTCTACAGACTTCAATACCCCTTAGATGTGTGTGTGTGTGTGTGTGTGTGTGTGTGTGTAAGAGCTTTCAAGCCCTATCTAAGAGACCCCCTTAATGAACTTACAAGCTTTGGTGGTGTCATTTAAATGTTAATATTATTGAATGCACCACTCTAAATCAAACACTGATTGGGAGCCAACACACTTAGGCCAAGATATTTAAAGATGCTTAGGCGGAGTGGAGCAATGCCTAAGTGACAATCCCATTGACTTTCAGTAAGATTTAGGCTCCTACGTACCTAAGTCACTTTTCAAAGTGTGACTTAGCCATGTAAGTCACTTATGGTCAGATCCACACAGGTATTTAGGTAACTGCCTTTCTGGTATCAGGGGGTAGCCGTGTTAGTCTGTATCTACAAAAACAACAAGGAGTCTGGTGGCACCTTAAAGACTAACAGATTTATTTGGGCATAAGCTTTCGTGGGTAAAAACCTGTGCCTGTGCCTGCCACTGCCTGTAGGCACCTTAATTTGTTGCTTGTCAGCATTCGCAAAGCCACCTAAGCATTGATGCCTCCCCACAGCTAGTGAGCCCTTACTGAAGAAGAGGCCCCAAGTAGGATTCTCAAAGTGGATGGGGGAATCAGGGCTGGCATTATGACATAGAAAGCAGGGCAATTGCCCAGGGCCCCACACCAGAGGGGGCCCCCACAAAACTAAGTTACGAGTGGGGGAGAGGGGCTTGGGCTCAGGCTTCAGCCCCAGACGGTGAGGCTCCGGCTTCGGCAGGGTGGGGACCCACTCCTTAGTTTCTGCCTTGGGCCCCAGCGAGTCCAACGCCAGCCCTGGGGGGAATGCCTATCTTGTCAGCAGGGACTGATTCTTTAAGCATGCTCTGAGCATGCTTAAAGCATTGAGAGAAAACTAGATAGTAGGGCTGTCAAACAATCAAAATTTTTTATCGTGATTAATTGCAGTTTTAATCACACTGTTAATAGAATACTAATTTAAATTTATTATAAATATTTTTGGATATTTTCTACATTTCAAATATATTGATTTCAATTACAATGCAGAATACAAAGGGTACAGTGCTCACTTTATATTATTATTTTTGATTACAAATATTTGCACTGTAAAAAAGATAAACAAGTGCAATCTACAAGTCGAAGCATGAAGGGGCATACGAATGTTTAGCTTATCTCGCACGTAAATACCTTGCAATGTTGGCTACACCTGTGCCATGAGAATGCCTGTTCTCACTTCAGGTGACATTGTAAATAAGCGTGCAGCATTATCTCCTGTAAATGTAAACAAACTTGTTTTCTTAGCGGTTGGCTGAACAAGAAGTAGGACTGAATGGACTTGTAGGCTTGAAAGTTTTATATTGTTTTTGAGTGCAGTTACGTGAAAAAAATTCTACATTTGTAAGTTGCACTTTCACTATAAAGAGATTGCACTACAGTACTTTATGAGGTGAATTGAAAAATACTATTTCTTTTATCTTTTTACAGTGCAAATATTTGTAATAAAAATAATATAATGTGAGCACTGTGCACTTTGTATTCTGTGGTGTAATTCAAATCAATATATTTGCAAATGTAGAAAAACATCCAAAAAGATTTATTATAAAACTGCAATTAATCACAATTAATTTTTTTAATGTAGTAAATTTTTGTTGAGTTAATCGCTTGATTTAACTGCGATTAATTGACAGCCCTACTAGATAGCAATCTTTTCAGTATGTACTCTCTTCTTCTGGGGGTTAGGGCACTCATGTGAGAGACCCAGGTTTAACTCCTTTGGTTGTGTGATTTGGAGTAGGGACTTGAACCCATGTTTGCTACATTTCAGCTGAGTACCATAAATGCAAGGCTGTTCTAGGATAGATGTCTCTTGACCTCTCCTGTTGAAGCTGGTCTACTTTATATAAATAATTAAACATTTGTTGGGCCAGAGAAAATGAGAGCTGGCCTGATGCTGTAGCCCTGTGGTTAGGGCACTGACTTAAGCTGTAGGAGACCTAGGTTCAAGCCCTCTTCCAAGAAATATTTAGCTATTTATGTGAAGTGGAAAAGCTCTAACAAACAAAGTTGAACATCCCAGCCCAGTCTTCCCTGCAATATGGCAGACCTGGATTCAAATCCCTTCTCCCAGTAACCTAAACACCAGGCTTATTGATTAGGAGGGAGGTGCCTACCTCTCAGCTAGCTGGAAAAGATCCAGATCAATGGGAGTTAGGCACCTAAATACCTTTGAGGATCTGGACCTAAGCCCCTCCCCTTGCCTCTTCATTTCACTCCCAGTTAGCTTAGTTGGCACCCTACTCAGCTAGCTGGTTTTTGAGGATCCCTTCCTCAGGTGCCTCTCTCTCCCCATGTGGCACCTAAATCTGGGCTGAGGATTCCATGAGGTGGCAGGGACAGGTCTAGACATTGCAATGCTGAGCAGAGAAATGTGTAAGTACCTTTAAGTATCAGCTCCTTACAGTACTTACAACGCTGAGTGGAGAAATACCTTGAAAAAATCTAAATGTGACCTTAAGATCAACTTCAGTAGTGTGATGTTTCTCTGTTATCAGGGCTGGCTCTAGGCACCAGCAAAACAAGCTGGTGCTTGGGGCGGCACATTTTTAGGGGCGGCATGGCCGGCGCCAGAATGCCGCCCCTAAAAATGTGCCCCGGCCGCCCTAGCTCACCTCCGCTGCTGCCACTTGCGCGCCACGGCGCGCGAAACAGCTGATTCGCGCACCGCTGCTCACCCTCCCTCCCAGGTTTGAGAGCCTGGGAGGGAGGGGGAGACTCCGAGTGGCCGCGGCGCACGCGCCAATTCTCCCCCTCCCTCCTAGGCTTGAGAGCCTGGGGGGAGGAGGCAAGGCTGGGGATTTGGGGAAGGGGCGGAGCTGAGGCGGGGCCAGGGGTGGGGTAAGAAAAACGGGGGAGGGGGGGCGGCCAAAATTGTTTCTGCTTGGGGCGGCAAAAATCCTAGAGCCGGCCCTGTCTGTTATGAAGGGGCTGCAAAGCCACCCTAATGACTTCCTGGACTTAGGGGGCTCCTGGCAAGCACAGAGCTGGCATGGCTATCTCAACATCTCATTTGCCACAGCCCATGAGGCAAAAGGCATATCAGGGATGTGTTGGGAGGAGGAGGGGCTATGACCAGGATGCATAGGCGGCGAGTGGTTAAAGAGGGCTCAGTCTCCCCCACTCTATTTTTCTGAGTCACGCTGCCACCTGTGCACATACCCAGGTCAGCAGGTAAAGCCCCGCATCCAGTGGTGCCAGGGCCCTGGAGAGCGGTGGGGCGGACAGGCCTTCATGGGAAGAAGGCCCTACCTGCAAACTTAATTCCTGGCAGATGGTGCTGGCTCCTAGCTCCTGAGTGGCGCTTCCCAGAAAGGTTCACTGGGATGGGGGCAAGAGTCCAGGGAGTGGGGAGATCCTGAGGAGACTGGGGAGGAAAGGAGAGTCCTGAGGGGAGGGGGCAGATCCTGAGGTGATGGGGGAAGGGAGTCCTGGAAGGAGGGGGGAGATTTGGAGGCGACTGGAGGAAGGGGAGAAGATTGTGAAAGGATTGGGGGAGAAGGAGAGTTCCTGGGGAAGGGATGGGGTGATTCTGAGGTGATGGGGGAGTGGAGTCCTGAGGGAAGGAGGGATTCTGAGATGAAGGATGGAAAGGGGTGTCCCAGGGGAGGAAGGGGAGTCCCGAGGGATGGTGGAGCTCCTGAGACCCTGTGTTCAGTGGTACCAGGAGAGGGGACGGGACATGGCATCGCAGGGATATGGCCCTGCCTGCACGTAGAGGCACATGTCAGGTGGTCCTGGCAGGTTCCTCTGAATCTGCAAGTGTTGAGAGCCAACGGTCTGGAGGGGGAGCTGGGCCCAGCCCAGCCAGACAGGAGCTACCAGTGCGGGGTGAGTGGAGGGCAGGCTCAGCCCCGGCACCCCAAAGAATATTTTCACCACCCACCTATGCTAGAATGTTCTTATATCTCAATTTATTCCCAGGGGTGGAAATGGGCCCACAGAGGCCTTTGCAGGTGGGGGGTGCCAGTTAAGGTGCAGGCTGCTCTTTGTAAACTGCACTGGTGTCCTGGGACTTGCCAGGGGCATTTTGGACACAGAAGATGCAATCTCTGCTTCAAGCTCAGCTCAGGAGGATGGATGAACTGGTCCCTTAAAATCGATAGTGCCTGATCCTGATCTCACACCGATGTAATTAAACTGAAGTCAATGGAGTAAAGCTGGTGTGAGGCCTATTGTCCCAGGCCCATTGTCTTGATAAAGTCCTGTACCCCTGATTTCCTACTATGGGTTCCTTGCCTACTCATTCACCAAAGACAGACTCTCCTGTCATGCTGTGAGTTAGAAGTAGTTCTTTTCATTTGCCAGTCCCACCTTGTAAGAGTTTTGATTTACTATCTCACTACCAGCTCAAGTAAAAGCCCTGCCTAAAACCTGGAAACGCCCTTTGAAAGTAAATGTAAGATGGTGTTTATTTAAAAGCCCATCCCTTTAAATTTTCTGTTGCAGACTAGAGAGGTAATCTTCCCATTGGAGTGTAAATTGGAGAAAACTGGTTTCAACGGCGTTGAAGCAGAATTTAAACTCAGACAGATGAAACAATTAAGGTAGAAACTTAAAATGGAAGGTTAGCATGTAACTCCAGGCAGATCATGAAGCAACAAAATCCATGAAGAATTGTTTTAGCTGTTGCGCTTAAGGAATTT